AAGGCAGTAATGGAAATACGTTTTAGGAAATGTAAAATGTGAAAATTATTATTGCTGTTCTTTCCTGTGGTTGTGATTCTGGTCCTATATACATTGTATTGTCTCATTTGATATAGTATAGGACGTTTTCCTCCCTTGGTATGATCATTTATAAAGTGACTGGATTGTGATGCCCAGGAAAACATAATACACTTCCAGGGGCGGACTGACCATTTGGAAACTCGGTCAGTAGGGGGCCCCATGAGATTCCCCTGGTACCTTTTTTCATAGGCTTTTTTGAGTTTGGGCAAGGACACAGGGGCCCCATGATCCCCTATTGCCCGGGGGCCCCATGAGTTGTCAGTCCACCCCTGTACACTTCATTTATTTAACCACTTGACCTCCAGAAGGTTTTTACCCCCTTCATGACCAGACCATTTTTTCCTATTCAGCACAGCTACTTTAAAGTGATTCTAAAGGCTTATTTCAAAAAACAAACAAACAAACAAACATGTCTATACTTACCTGCTCTGTGCAGTGGTTTTGCACAGAGCAGTACCTCCTCTTCTTGGGTCCCCCGCCCAATCTTCTGGCCCCTCACTCCTGTCGGGTGCACCCACAACAAGCAGCTTCCTATGAGGGCACCCGCTACTCGTGTATCCATTCACACATGGGGCCTTGGCTCGGCCCTGCCCCCTCTCTCTTCTCATTGGCTCACTGGCTGTGATTGACAACAGACAATGGCTCTCACTTCTGTCTCAGACAATGAGGAGAGGGAGTCCCTGGATAGCCGAGACTCCAGTGCACATCGCTGGATCGAAAGGGGGCTTAGTTGAGTATTAGGGGGGCTGGGGGGGATGCTGCATAAAGATCGTTTTTTACCTTCATGCATAGAATGCATGAAGGTAAAAAACCTTGAGCCTTTAGAATCACTTTAAATGGCAATAGCTGGTCATGCAACACTGTACCCAAATTAAACATACAGTAAGGTCCATAAATATTGGGACATCGACACAATTCTAACATTTTTGGCTCTATACTCCATGACAATGGATTTGAAATGAAACGAACAAGATGTGCTTTAACTGCAGACTGTCAGCTTTAATTTGAGGGTATTTACATTCAAATCAGGTGAACGGTGTAGGAATTACAACAGTTTGCATATGTGCCTCCCACTTATTAAGGGACCAAAAGTAATGGGACAATTGGCTTCTCAGCCGTTCCATGGCCAGGTGTGTGTTATTTCCTCATTATCCCAATTACAATGAGCAGATAAAAGGTACAGAGTTCATTTCAAGTGTGCTATTTGCATTTGGAATCTGTTGCTGTCAACTCTCAAGATGAGATCCAAAGAGCTGTCACTATCAGTGAAGCAAGCCATCATTAGGCTGAAAAAACAAAACAAACCCATCAGAGAGATAGCAAAAACATTAGGCGTGGCCAAAACAACTGTTTGGAACATTCTTAAAAAGAAGGAACGCACCGGTGAGCTCAGCAACACCAAAAGACCCGGAAGACCACGGAAAACAACTGTGGTGGAAGACCGAAGAATTCTTTCCCTGGTGAAGAAAACACCCTTCACAACAGTTGGCCAGATCAAGAACACTCTCCAGGAGGTAGTTGTATGTGTGTCAAAGTCAATAATCAAGAGAAGACTTCACTAGAGTGAATACAGAAGGTTCACCACAAGATGTAAACCATTGGTGAGCCTCAAAAACAGGAAGGCCAGATTAGAGTTTGCCAAACGACATCTAAAAAAGCCTTCACAGTTCTGGAACAACATCCTATGGACAGATGAGACCGAGATCAACTTGTACCAGAGTGATGGGAAGAGAGAGTATGGAGAAGGAAAGGAACTGCTCATGATCCTAAGCATACCACCTCATCAGTGAAGCATGGTGGTGGTAGTGTCATGGCGTGGGCATGTATGGCTGCCAATGGAACTGGTTCTCTTGTATTTATTGATGATGTGACTGCTGACAAAAGCAGCCGGATGAATTCTGATGTGTTTCGGGCAATATTATCTGCTCATATTCAGCCAAATGCTTCAGAACTCATTGGACGCCGCTTCACAGTGCAGATGGACAATGACCCAAAGCATCCTGCAAAAGCAACCAAAGAGTTTTTTAAGGGAAAGAAGTGGAATGTTATGCAATGGCCAAGTCAATCACCTGACCTGAATCCGATTGAGCATGCATTTCACTTGCTGAAGACAAAACTGAAGGGAAAATGCCCCAAGAACAAGCAGGAACTGAAGACAGTTGCAGTAGAGGCCTGGCAGAGCATCACCAGGGATGAAACCCAGCGTCTGGTGATGTCTATCCGTTCCAGACTTCAGGCTGTAATTGACTGCAAAGGATTTGCAACCAAGTATTAAAAGTGAAAGTTTGATTTATGATTATTATTCTGTCCCATTACTTTTGGTTCCTTAATAAGTGGGAGGCACATATGCAAACTGTTGTAATTCCTACACCATTCACCTGATTTGGATGTAAATATCCTCAAATTAAAGCTGACAGTCTGCAGTTAAAGCACATCTTGTTTGTTTCATTTCAAATCCATTGTGGTGGTGTATAGGGCCAAAAATGTTAGAATTGTGTCGATGTCCCAATATTTATGGACCTGACTGTACATCCAAATCAGGTGAATAGTGTAGGAATTACAACAGTTTGCATATGTGCCTCCCACTTGTTAAGGGACCAAAAGTAATGGGACAGAATAATAATCATAAATCAAACTTTCACTTTTTAATACTTGGTTGCAAATCCTTTGCAGTCAATTACAGCCTGAAGTCTGGAACGCATAGACATCACCAGACGCTGGGTTTCATCCCTGGTGATGCTCTGCCAGGCCTCTACTGCAACTGTCTTCAGTTCCTGCTTATTCTTGGGGCATTTTCCCTTCAGTTTTGTCTTCAGCAAGTGAAATGCATGCTCAATCGGATTCAGGTCAGGTGATTGACTTGGCCATTGCATAACATTCCACTTCTTTCCCTTAAAAAACTCTTTGGTTGCTTTTGCAGTATGCTTTGGGTCATTGTCCATCTGCACTGTGAAGCGGCATCCAATGAGTTGTGAAGCATTTGGCTGAATATGAGCAGATAATATTGCCATAAACACTTCAGAATTCATCCTGCTGCTTTTGTCAGCAGTCACATCATCAATAAATACAAGAGAACCAGTTCCATTGGCAGCCATACATGCCCACGCCATGACACTACCACTACCATGCTTCACTGATGAGGTGGTATGCTTAGGATCATGAGCAGTTCCTTTCCTTCTCCATACTCTTCTCTTCCCATCACTCTGGTACAAGTTGATCTTGGTTTCATCTGTCCATAGGATGTTGTTCCAGAACTGTGAAGGCTTTTTTAGATGTCGTTTGGCAAACTCTAATCTGGCCTTCCTGTTTTTGAGGCTCACCAATGGTTTCCATCTTGTGGTGAACCCTCTGTATTCACTCTGGTGAAGTCTTCTCTTGATTGTTGACTTTGACACACATACATCTACCTCCTGGAGAGTGTTCTTGATCTGGCCAACTGTTGTGAAGGGTGTTTTCTTCACCAGGGAAAGAATTCTTCGGTCATCCACCACAGTTGTTTTCCGTGGTCTTCCGGGTCTTTTGGTGTTGCTGAGCTCACTGGTGCATTCCTTCTTTTTAAGAATGTTCCAAACAGTTTTTTTTGCCACGCCTAATGTTTTTGCTATCTCTCTGATGGGTTTGTTTTGTTTTTTCAGCCTAATGATGGCTTGCTTCACTGATAGTGACAGCTCTCTGGATCTCATCTTGAGAGTTGACAGCAACAGATTCCAAATGCAAATAGCACACTTGAAATGAACTCTGTACCTTTTATCTGCTCATTGTAATTGGGATAATGAGGGAATAACACACACCTGGCCATGGCACAGCTGAGAAGCCAATTGTCCCATTACTTTTGGTCCCTTAACAAGTGGGAGGCACATATGCAAACTGTTGTAATTCCTACACCATTCACCTGATTTGGATGTAAATACCCTCAAATTAAAGCTGACAGTCTGCAGTTAAAGCACATCTTGTTTGTTTCATTTCAAATCCATTGTGGTGGTGTATAGAGCCAAAAATTTTAGAATTGTGTCGATGTCCCAATATTTATGGACCTGACTGTATAATTTTTTTCACACAAATAGAGCTTTCTTTTGATGGTATATCTAAGCTAGGTGAAAACTGAATGAGCAAGCACTTTATAAAGAGCCAGAGAAAGATCTGTAATTATCTGTAAGTGCATACCTGACTGTCTTGATCAATGTTAGAAAAGATATTTGGGTTTTAAAGTAGCAACACTTTGTACTTGGACAGTGGATATAATTATTCAGAATGGCTGAATACAATTTCCACTGACCGCTTGAAAACCAGTCTGTAATACCAATATCAAGTCATTTTTTAGTTTCCAGTGTTGTGATACTTTGACTGACTATTACTTGGTCATGGAACACTGTGTCAAAATGAATTTTATATAATTTTTTGAGACCGACAGTAACCACGGTTTCTTTTTAATTTTTGCTATATAAAGGCAAAAAGCCCAAAAGTTTTGGGAAAAAAACCCTGTTTCCAGGGACAATGCAAACAGCCTCAAAATGACTCATTTTGAAAAGTGGAAACTCCAAGATGATCCTATCTTTTTTGCCACATTTTTGAAGAAATTAAGAAACATGCTAGTATTGAGGTGGTTAAAACATGGCGCTAGATAATAGTTCACTGCATACAGCATATACAGGTCATACACAGAAGGAGGATGAAGGGAAGAGGTTACTGTACAGTTCCCATGGGGGTTTATGTGCAGATGTGCAGGACAAAGGAGGTGAAGATACAGTATCGGATCAGATGTATGGGGAGAGTGGATGTGAAAGGTTTATTGCTGCCGTGATCTGTGTTCTGATTTGTCTCATTTATTCATAGTTCATAGTCACCTACAGGGGTAACTGACAACTCATGGGGCCCCCGGGCAATAGGGGATCATGGGGCCCCTGTGTCCTTGCCCAAACTCAAAAAACCCTATGAAAAAGGTACCAGGGGCATCTCATGGGGCCTCCTATTGACCCCGGGCCCTCGGGCAGTGCCCGAGTTTCCAAATGGTCAGTCCACCCCTGGTCGCCTACTTTTTTCCATTGTACATGAAGAGGATAGCCTACAGATGTAAACACTACACTGTTTACATCTGTGATTGATGTAATTGGTCTCTCTCTGACCAACCACAGTATTTCCAAGCTGCAGAGCTGCTTGGATTGGTTCTGTACCCAGGGTACACAGGGTACAGGGTCTGTAAACCAAGATATTCAAGGATGACTACGTTTACAGGCACATGAGCTGCCTGACATTGCTTATCCAGGAATATTTACAGCCATGGCCACAAATATTGTCATCCCTTCATTTCTGTCAGATAATGCACCACTTCATGCAGAAAATGGTTGAAATTACAAATGTTTAGGCATTCTCATGTTATTTTCTTTTGTTTGTATTGGTATGACACAAAGTGGTGAAACAAAAAGCCAGATCTTATACATTCTACGCAAAACCTCAAAAATGGACTGGACAAAATTATTGGCACCTTCTCAAAATTGTAAGAAATAATTGCATTCCAAGTTTGTGATGCTCCAGTAATTTGTTTTTAAACTCACCTGTATCAATTATCAGATCGTAATGTTCCACTGTGCACAACATTGCCAAGAAGTTTACAGCCCATGGCACTGTAGCTATTCTCCCTGGAAGTGGACGAAAGAGAAAACCTTGATTAAAGACTGCAATGAAGGATTGTGCGAATGGTGGATAAAGAACCTCAATCAACTTCCAGCTCAAATTCAAGGCAGTGTCAGCATTATACGTTGCAATCTGAATGAAAAGGGATACTATGGGACACTATGGTAAGAGGCCCACTGCTGACACAGAAACATAAAAAAGCCAGATTGGAGTTTGCCAAAACTTACCTGAAGAAGCCAAAATCCTTTTGGGAGAATGTGCTGTGGACAGACAAAACAAATTTACAGCTTTTTGGTAAAGCCCATCATTTTTCTGTTTTCAGACGAAGCAATGAGGCCTTAAAGGAAAAGAATCCAGTCCCTACAATCAAACATGGTGGAGGTTCACTGATGTTTTGGGGTTGCTTTGCTGCTTCAGGCACAGGATGCATTTACCTGTACATGGCATTATGAAACCTGAAGATTACCAAAGAATTCTGGGGTGCAATGTGGGGCCCAGTTTCAGAAAGTTGGGTCTCCGTCAGAGGTTATATTTCTTACAACAGGACAATGACCCAAAGCACACGTCAAAAAGCACCTAGAAATGGTTTAAGACAAATTGCTGGAGAGTACTGAACTGGCCAGCAATGAGTCCAGATCTCAATCCCATAGAGCACCTGTGGAGAGATCTAAAAACAGCAGGAACCCTTCCAATATGAGAGACCTGGAGTACTTGGTGAAAGAAGAGTGGTCCAAAATTTCAGTAGAGAGGTGTAAGAATCCTCATCAACTCAGCGATTGATTTCAGTTATTTTTTCCAAGGTGTGTGCTAACAAATATTAAATTGAGAGTGCCAATAATTTTATCCAGTCCATTTTTGCATGGAATTTGTCAGATTTGTTTTTTTTTCTCCACTTTTTTGAGTCATACCAATACAAACAAAAAAAATAAACCTGAGAATGCCTAAACATTTGTAATTGCAACAGTTTTTTGGGCGAAGTGGTGCATCTAACCCCTCGTGTGCTGTTTGTTGTTGCTGTACTGTTTCATGTATTGTCCCCCCCCTCTATTGTACAGCGCTGAGCAAACCCTTTGGCGCTATATAAACTCGATGTAATAATAATAATTATGAGACAGAAATGCAGGGGTGCCAATATTTTTGGCCATGACTGTATAAATGGCACCGGAAGGATAACTGTCAAGCCATTTTTTAGACATACAGCAGTACAAAAGTGGTTAAGCTAATCAAAAAAACAATAAAATAATAATAGAAACAAGCAGACGGCCCTAAATATGTACACGTCACATTAACATCTCAGTTTATTTACATTCCAACATGAATAAATAATCCATGGATAATAGTAAACTTTGCCAACATCAGCAGTACTATTGCCTAATATATAACTGCTGGCACATTAAACATTAATCAGTTAAATAATGCTTCAAAGTTATGAAGTATATTAACTAATATTTGTATAGCCAATTGTGTTAGTAAGTAACACATTCAAGTGGTGGATTTGTTTCTCTACAAATGTGCTGACACTGGGAAAAAGTAGAATTCCAGCCAGGAAACTACCATAGACTCTGCTGTACGATATAGTTTTTCTATGTGACTTGGCTCATGAGCTCAGTTTTAACATATGACATGACTTTTTTCTATATATCAGGTTGCCTGGATGTCTGTAAATATCAACTCCTATTTATAAATTAATGTATATTTATAAATGTTAGTATACTGTATATGTGCATAGAGAGAGAGAGGGATACACACTTTGTTCATACATTTTGTTTGCAATATTTTGTATAAAATCATTATTGAATCAAGTCTGCACTCCACCGATTGGAAGTTTTAGGCAAGTATTTTGCTGTATGCTATAAAAGCTATCAGGTGATCTAGGAGGGCTTGATTAAGAGAAAATGTCTGTTTCTCTGATAGCAGCCAGTGAGGAACTGAGCCAGTGATTATTTTGTGAGTTGTGTTGGTTTTAAATGAATAGGTAATCAACCAATTGATCAGACCGAGAGTAATTCTACCTTGCAGTTTACTATGAAAGTCCAAAATTAACCACATGCCGCCCAGCCACTGTAGAAATACGTTGGCAGGGCGGCACGGCTGGGCAAAACCACGTTTTAAAACGTGTGTTTTCAAAACAGGTAGGGGGCGCGCGAGGCACGCCACCGCCCTACCTGTCCCGCCGATCACGGCCGCAGATGTCAGTCGCCGGGTCACAGCCGGTCGTTACCGGCTATGTCCCGGCGATTAGCGGCAATCACTGACAGAGATCAGGGCTGCAGTAGCTCTGCTCTCTGTCAGTTCCCTGACAGCTCCTGACATGCTGAGCAGGAGAGAAGAGTTTTATCTCTCCGGATCAGCTTGTCCCCCGTGCAGTACACACCCCCCCCCCTAGTAAAACACTCCCCTCACACAGTTAACCATTTCACTGAATAATAAAGTTAACCCCTTCCTCCCCAGTGCCATTAGTACAGTGTCAGTGTTTTTTTTTTTGGCACTGATCACTGTATTGGTGTCACTGGGGATGTCAGTGACCCCAAGTCAGTTCCCCACCAGTGTCAGAATGTCCGCCGCCATAAGTCGCTGATTGCCGCCATAAGTCACTGATCGCCGCCATAAGTCGCTGATCGCCGCCATTATTAGTATAAAAATCCCAGTATCTTTCCCGCCATTTGTAAACGCTATAACTTTCACGTAAACCAATTAATTTACACGTATTGGGTTTTTTTTTGTCTCTGACCATTTCCTGTAGTATGTCTGCAGTCTTTGAAAATCTCCTGTAGTATGTCTGCAGTCTTTGACCATTTCCTGTAGTAAACTATTAGTGCCCCCCAGTTTTGACTATGGTATCTTATGTGCCCCCCCTATATATTGTTTCTAGAGTTGCCACTAGCTACTTGGCATTGAGATCTTCAATTAAATTAGAAACTATATTATTCACTTTAAAAAACTCTGTTGAAGTTCAGTGGTTCAATCCTGGGTTGAGCTTTTGATCAGACATTTGAATTGGTAAGGGAACAGGCTGTGAATGGCCAGTCTTAATAGGTTGTTAAAAAAAAAGATAGATAGATAGATAGATAGATAGATAGATAGATAGATAGATAGATAGATAGATAGATACTGTATACATATTGTGACAGTGTGGTGACCTGTCACTGTAGAAAGGATATATCACCCTGGATTCTCAACAAGGCAGGTTGAGGGGCTCCAGGGTACTTGTTTCATACAGAGGAAACTGGCTTTTCACTTTCCTCATTTGTTTGTAAAGTCCATTTTGAGATCTGGAGCCTGGAGATTTCAAAGTGATTTGGGAGGGATGAAATCTCCAATCCTCAAACCAGGTTTTGGGAATGGCCAGGAGACCGATTGGTCAGGTGTGTGTGGTCTTCTTCTAGAGTCAGGACCAGGGTTCTTGGCTCCACCCTCCCGAGGAGTCCATGTGGGTGCAAGGGAGCAGCCACAAGTGTGCATGGTGGCACAGAGAAGTATGACAGAGCAGACAAAGGGCCCAAGCCTGTTGGCTGGAGAAGCAGGAGGGCTGGGAAAGGGCGCTAACCAAGGTGCAGTGTGTTGTATGTGAATGGTCAAGAGGACCGAGACATAAAGCCTGAGCAGCGGTGCTGCTAAAGAGAGCCAGGAGGCTGAATCTATGTTTTTGTTTGCATTGATGGTGGATACCTCTTCGTTGTCACATATGGTGGCGGATGCAGCCACCATACTAGAGATCCCTGCAATGAAGTAAGTTCATTTGTTATATGAACTGTGTTTGGTGCATAAGTCTGCACTATCTGTGTGTGCAGGTGAGGAGAACCTGCCATAAAAAAGGAACTTGCCTTAAAGAGACAGCGTTCCATAGTGTTTCTGAACTGTGTAACAAACTGCTGTGTGCAGGACTGAAAGGATGGGGAAGTCAAAGCAGAAAAAGAAGGCAATCCTTGCTGAAGCAAGGGAAAGGATACTATGGCTAGAAGGTTATATACCACATGCCCCAGCTAAGCCAGGAAATTCAAATGTGGGTGAATTGGCTGTGGACTGGTGCAAGTGGCACCTGGCAGCATTGAGCCAACCTACAGAGGAAAGCAAGCCAACCTTCAGTGCAAGGAGAGAGCTGCAGGATGTCTGTACCTGGGAAAGGGGTGTTGTTGCTCCTGCTGCAGTTAAACAAGTAGCTGTTGGGGAAAATGTTAAGGTGTCACAGCTTGAGAGAAGTTTCAGCAGAGAGACACCCATTCTATTTGCAAGGAGAGGGGCTGACCAGAGGCCAGGACCGAGAGTGATTGCCCATAGCAACACAGAGGAGGCCAGTCAGGCTGTCTGTGTACCGAGGGCTATGTCTTAAAAGGATCATGGCAAATGGCATCAGGAGGAGCCAATACAGCATGTTGGAAAGAGCCAGCAAAGTTCTGCTTGGAGAGTGCAATCTCCCATGGCGACAGGAAAAAAAAGTATTGCCTGGAAGAAGGAG